AATCAAATTAAAAATCAAACCAAATCGATATAAAATTGAATTGGTTTGAATTATAAAATTTTAAACTGATATAATTGGTTCGATTTTTAATTTTACTTTTAAATCATCTAAACTACTCAATTACAAAACAAAACTTGATTACAGGATAATTTAATTAAATAATATAATATATTTTTTTTATAATATTTCAAAATTTCTTTTTCTTATTTTACAAGATAATAATTCCATTTACTTAATTAAAAAATAAAAATAAAATATCTCTATATTTTCTAATTTATCTTTCCTTTTTAATCGTGCACTTTATCCCTCAAAATTAGTCTACACTTTTACTTTTAGAACCTTAAATTTCTAACTTGTTCCTACAATAATATTATGATTCTCCTAATTGAGTTTTAAAGAAGTATTGTTTTAGAAATCTTATAATTATAATAGAACTAGTCTTGATATTCTACTATTCTTAAATGTTTGGTTAAGTAGTTTTAAATTTTAATTGTGAATGCTTCTAATTAATTCTACTAATACTCATCTTAAATTTTATTCACTTTTAACATGATTTGGAAGATGTGATTAAATCATTAGTACATTAAGAAAAAAACTAATTTAAACATTTAGAAATTTCTTACATTGAGTCATCTTTTATTGTTAGTGCCTTTTATGATGTAACCAAGAAAAATTTTCACATCTCTTCAATATTTATAATTAAAAAATGAGTATAAGAACTTGTTCATAATTTATATCTTTTATTATTTTTTCACTGATTTAGATGTTACTATGTTTTATAGTTATATTTTCTAGCTGATCTCAAAATTTTTTACATTATCTTCATATAATACTATCAACTGTTCCTTTTATGAAAAAAAAAAAAAGAATGCAACCCGATATTTAAAATTTGATACTCTAAGTGAATGTATGTATCTACATATATAATAGTTGCCTCTTCATCCATTTCATGCACCTTAACATATCCTTCCTTCTCCTTTGCCAGAACAGACTCCCCAAACCCAAGCATTTGTTTCCTCCAAGCTATTTTGAAGCACAAATTAATGGCTGACCTTATCCTGAGTCCCGTTGTGGATACCATAATTTCCAAGCTGATTTCAGCAACTGCCGAGCAGATCAGCAATGCTGTCAACTGGAAGCAGGAGCTTACAAAGCTCCAGAACAAACTGAAAATGATCCAGGCTGTGTTAAAAGATGCTGAAGAAAGGCAGGTCAGAGACCCTGCTGTGAAGCTCTGGCTTGAGAAGCTCAGGGATGTTGCTCGTGAGGCTGATGATGTGCTGGATGAAGTTGCTTATGAAAGTGTGAAGCGGAAGCTGCTTATTCAAAACCAGATGAAGAAAAAGTTGGGTTACTTCTTCACTCTCTCCAACCCTATTGCATTTCGTATCAGGATGGCTAATAAAATTAAGTCTCTTATTGCATTAGTATCTGATATTAACAATGAGGCCCAACAGTTTGGGCTTCAACCTAGACTTGCGGCTGGTACGGTTTCTCAATATAGGAGAAACCCACAAACTCACTCCTTAGTTGGTGACGTGTCACAAATTGTGGGGAGGGATGATGATATCTCCAAAATAGTGCATTTCTTGACCGAATCAACTGATCAATTGCCCCTTAGTGTCTTGTCTATAGTGGGCATGCCGGGTCTCGGCAAAACTGCATTAGCACAATGTGTGCGTAATAATGAGAAAATCCAGAAGTATTTTGGGAAAGTCATGTGGGTTTGTGTGTCTGAAAATTTTGATGCGGAAAGGATTGTGGTGGAAATGCTGGAGTCTCTTACCAAGAGTTCATGTGCAATTAGGAACAAAGACACTGTGGTTCAGACAATAAGAGAGGAGTTGGGGGAAAACAAGTTTCTTTTGGTGCTAGATGATGTGTGGAATGAAGAGAGTGAGAAATGGAAAGACTTGGAAAGCTGTTTGTTAGGAATATATAGAAAACTGGGGAATAGAGTTGTTGTGACAACTCGTAGTGAAAGTGTTGCATTGAAAATGGGAACTCGTGCAGCACACATGCATCATCTTGGGCAACTAAAAGATGATGAATGTTGGTCTATCATCAAGCGGAGGGTATTTAGAGATGATCCTGCACCTCCAGAGTTGGTGGAAATTGGAAGGAATATTGCTAAAAAATGTGAAGGTGTGCCATTAGTCGCAAGTGTTATAGGGGGAACCTTGTGCATAAAAAGGCCAGATACAGTTGAGTGGTTGTCAATTGAAAGTAAGATTGATGAATTGGGTCCACTTGAACACAACAATGGAATCATGCCTGTAATACAATTGAGTTTTGATCGATTGCCAAATCCAGCTCTAAAGCAATGTTTTGCTTTTTGTTCTATTTTTCCCAAAGACCATGTCATGGAAAAGGAGATTTTAATTCAGCTATGGATGGCTGAAGGTTTCCTTCA